TATTCTTAAGTTAAATTTAAAAAAATCACATTCATCTGTATATACATAGTGAGTACACGTGAAATCAAACATGGTGTGATTCTAGCCCTGTGTCTTAAAGTAAGCTCATTTTATTAGGACCTCCCCCCTACAACCGTTTCTGCTGCAGCCACATTCACATTCAAATAGCTAGTTCATATATATATATATATATATATATATATATATACCCTCTTGTCCTCCACATCATTCTCGCTTGGTTGTTATTGGACGGATAGCTCGCCAAAAAAAATTAGCCACTATGTCTTTACATTATTACTTACTCCCCCCCCCCCCCCTTTCTCCTAGTAAAAACCCAATCGTCTTTTCATCAAATGTCTATTATCCATAGTGTAGAAAAATAAATACGTTAATATACATGTACAGATACAAATTATTGATTGCTTGAATTTTGCTTAACGCCGAGTCGGCGAGATTTCAGCAATTATCGGCGGGAAATTTTTATCTGTTGCATGCAAAATACATGTAGTTGATAACCTTATTATAGGGAACTATTTAACGTTCCATCCGACGGACAATAATTTCAAAAATATGTTAACCATTAAAAAAGATTTCTCTCTGTGTTCATCAACAAAATATATCTCATAATGTACAAAATTTTACTTTCAAAATCAATTTGATGTAAATATTCTAAAATTCATTGTAAAATAAAATAACAATGATGCATCGTTCGTACATTTTTAATTGAATTCGTATGTGAAAAACCCCACCTAATTTTAGAAGAATGATTTATAGTTACATGTTGCGAAAGTCACGGGAAACATAATTGTATACACATTGGCTGAAATTATAGACTCAATAAGTATGCATGCATAATTTTTGGAAGACGATTTTTCATGTTTTTGTTCTTTATAGCATATAGTTTATCATCATCGGATACCCAAGGATGATCTCATCTTTACTCATCACCGGGTGATAAGTAAGGACGAGATCACTAGTGGATTTCCGACGATGATAGTTTATTTGTAATGCAATATTCTAATGCAGTTGAAAAAGAGATTTTACATAACGTCTACAAAATATTTTTATAATCAACAGAAAAAAATGAAGGGATATCAATATGAATTTCAGAAATGCAAAAATTTTAATTTCTTTGTTACCTGGCTGGTGTATTAGAAGTGCATTGAGGGAAAGAAAAAGAAAAACACAAGCTATATTGAACTACGATGTAAAACTATATGCCTGAACATTTTCTTTCTTTTACAATTCAATTAACTGCAAACGAACTAAATGTTAAAAAGAGAATTGATTACGTATAGTTAGGAAATGCAGTTAAACCAATTAAAACAAGAATAAATAATGCTATGAATTAGATAGTCGGATTCAGCTTGGGTGCGTAGGACTCTAAAATAAATTATATCATATTTAGCCAACCGGGTAGCATCAGCATACATGTATGCTGACTTAAGAAGCCACCCCCCCCCCCCCCAAAAAAAAATAACTGCTTTAGAGAAAAATAATATGCATGAAGGCACGCGGCGTACGCATCGACAACATTCTGCTATACCGTTCCTGACCCACTCCAACACAACACATAAAATTATAGACATTTCATAATTATTTGTTTGATGATTTTGTAAATAAAAAAAAATCAAATAAAAAAATTTAGATTTATAATTAAGTTATCTGTTGTTGGTATCCACCCTCTCTTTAAAAAAAGAGAATTGTAGAAGAATAATGTAGAGAATGTTTTGATGTTATAATTGAAAGTCTTAGTACAAAACGAAAACATATTCCTGTTATTCACGAACAGGTGAAATCCTGCTCAAGATGATTTTTGCAGAAAAGTTTGTATAATTTAACGGGGTTCAAAATACTTAACATTATGCTGAATATTTAAGAACACATTTCACTAAACTGTTGTTTGTTTTTTTTTTTTTTTTTTTTTACATCTGACTTAAGAGTAATTTTTTTGGTTTACAACTCTTTAAAATATTAATGACGTAGAAGGATATATGTTTTACAAACCGGGCCCATCTTCTTACATTTTCGCCAGCCAAGTTAAAGTAAAAAAAAAAATCATAGATAATCCATCGTCGTATTTTTTATAAACTTGCAAAATAAGGAGTAAAATATTTAAGAAAATTAACTTAAAATCTGGTAATGGAGAGAATCAAAAGTTAAGATAGAGAGAAAAAACATTTTTTTAAGGAAATGATTCCCCGTGTTGAGCCTCTTGTTGCGTCAAAGGGAAGCAACTTGCACAATTTATCGTATACAGTCGCTTCTGACAATACGTGTTTCCGTTTGAGAATTACTGATATATGGAATAAATTGCCTTAAACAATACCAGTATTACTTGTTTCTTGATATCTCTTAATATTGTAGTTAGAAAAATGCGTTTTAAAAGTTGTTGAATCGTGACCTTTGTACATTTTGTACTGAATCGATATGCCTAGACCTCTGTTTGTTTTGTTTTGGTTGGTTAATTTCTGTGATACATTTGAAAATACTCGTAAATTCATTCAAAGACACGAAACATTAAAGTATATCTAATATAATATTGTGAATTTAATCGTGAATAATTGAATACACGTGCTCACGATGATAGTAAATGAAGTTCACACACTATACTGCACCAGTACATGTGCGATTTTCTGTGCATGTTTACGTCTCATCTGGCTAAATTTTATACTCTAAACTACAATAAAAAATATATTCTGTACTTCCTCAGTAATGCACCATGTCATTTTTTCTTCGCTATATGTCTACCAACTTATTATTTATCTGGTGTAAGATATGGCCATACGTCTTCTGCTGTTTGAAAAAAAAAAAGTGTAGATCGGACTCGGCATTCCTCTGGCTTGTGTTTACATTGATCCATGGTAACAATAAAAAATGAGGCTCTGCGAAGGGGAATACATTTAAAATTTGTTTGTTTTATTAGTACATGAATGTTTAAAATGGTCCGATTTTTTGAATAAAAAATCCTTCAATATTGCAGTTGACGATGTCTAAAACATTCCTTAACGTCAAAAACCATGTGTAGTAAAAATACCGGGAAATCTTTCTCAACTTTATTTGCTTTTTTCTCATTATGACGTTGCATACGATAAGGTCGATTTCTATCCGACGAGGCTCATATATTGATAAATTGCCATTTACGGGTATATTGAATTAAATGGTTGCAAAATGTAGGCGGGAATCAAGAGTTAGCGTGCATACTTCTTATTAATTAATAATAGAATATACTTAGGTCATGCATCCTTGACAATGTGGAGGAAACATGGAAAATGGGAAACAAATCAAACATTTAAATCATATGTTATTTTAAAAATACTACTCATATTGCACATATATTTCAGTCGTTTCATTTTCACTTTAAATTCGTCCTTTAATCACATACTTTTTTTTAACTTTTCATTTGCACAGATCTTAAAATCTCCATGAACATTTCATTTTTGTTATTATCTTCTAAATACATTTTATATGGACAAATAAAATTTCCTGTTTATAACCTTATGTCTTCAACTTGAAATTTTACCTTTGAAAAAAATCATTCTTTTGCAATAATTTTGCAAACATTGGGAGCTTATCAAGCTCATGACCAAAGGGAGGCAATTCAATTATCCAGCTGGTATTAACTTTGTGCAAAAGAAAACTCGAAGATTTAAATTTCTTACCGATTGTTTATTACTTTTTCTGAAATTTTATGTTAATTGTACTGATATTCATTAGCATTATGAAGCTGTTTTAAAATGCAGTTACTTTAAAAATGTATCTCTAAATAATTATTAGATTTTGTCACTTATTGAAAATCTCTCCTTGGTTGGACTCTATACAAAAGTTATCATTTTCTTCTTAATTTCTTTAATAATAAATTAACAACTTATAATTTTAGTTATTTTACATATAATATCATTAAATAATGACACAATTCCCTCTTTTTTTTTTTTAAACTACATACATGTACATTTAAGTTTTATAAGGTACTGGTATATAGATAAAACATTCAAAGAATAAATATATTTTAATTATTAATTGATTTTGCAAGCATTTCTGGTTTTTAAAAGATGATTTTATGTTATCAATTGACATAAAATTACAAATAAACACTTATTCTGATGCAAAAACTATGAAATGAATATTCAGTTGAAACATTTTACAGTTTTAAATGTGTCTGAAACACATTTTAAGGGGGATAACTCTATTTTGTAAAAGAGAAAAGTCTAATTTCATATGAATAGTGACCTGTTTTTTGAGTAGAAAGCATAAAATTAAGAAAAAGAGGATAAGGAATTTTGCACTATTAACATTTACATGCTTTGGGTAAAAGAGTTACCATTTATTTTTTTCTGTAAAGTGGTTGCTGATATATAACTTTCAATCACTGAGAAATCTTATTTCCAGGATGCTTGGTATGTAAGGCATTTGAAAATTATTGCTTTCTGAGCTATTGTAACCTTTTAAAAAATATTGAAAATTAAGGGGTACTCACAAAATTGATTAACAGCATTTATAAACTAATTATCAATGAAGAATAAATATTTCCATTTCTATATTTGTTTCCTCTGTGATAACTCTGAAAAATAGTTGAGTTGATTTCTTGATAATTCTACCAGAATGTAAATTTTGCCAATCTAAAAGTCAGGAGCTAAGAAGGCCTAATATGCATGTAAATCTCAAGCAGTTGTCTTTGTGTTTGACATCATGAGCGGGGACTATTGAAATTGACATGGGATGCCTCATGTAATTTGAATCTTTAAAATCTGAATTTACGATTTTATTTCACAATGAAATGGAAATATAAGGAATCACTGTCTAGTTTGTTGGGTGTGCCAGGAACATCAACGATAGTTGAAAACATGGGATAATTTATGCATATAAATGGGCTCCACCAGTTATGCAAATTATCCCACGTATCCAACTATCTTTGATGCCCTGGCATACCCAACAAACTAGAAAGCGATTCCTTAAATCTTCAAAGACAGATCACTTGAACAGTGTGATTCAGAACTCACCTGAAAACCTCGGCACATGGAGCTGACCCCCTCCCTCAGAGTTCCTGCTGCCTGGGGTGAGGACAGTTTTGGCAGGCTGTACAGAGATGACCCTCCCTCCTTCCTCCGAGGACTTGCCCTCACTGTCTTCTCTGACAAATCTCCTCCTCGTTTTATTATACTCCTGGATAGCACTGTCTTCAAAAGAGAAGATGCTGGGGGCGTTATGCGTGGGAGTGGAATCGCAGTCATCACTGGCATTCTCTATGGAGAACGATGGGTTGGCTAGGCCCTCCACAGGTTTCGGTTCTGCGGGTTGAACCAGCTGCTCGAATGATGAGGAGATGTCCGGTGCGTTGGGATGGAGAAACTCACTAATTTTAATGCTGATGGATTTCTGATGTTCAGAGCTTAGAAATGGAGCGTGTGTCCTTGGGGATTCCCCCGAGCCCTTCTTGGGTAGTTTCTCTATAATGGCAGAAGGCGCTTTCTGTTCCTCTGGCTTTTTGATTGAAGGTTTTGTGTCTTTTTCTTCTTTGGATCCATTTTCTTTCTTTGCTACTGGTACTTTCAATGGCACCACCCTATTATTCATCTTTTATTACTTCACCTGTAATATAAATCAATGAAGTTGTCACCAAATATTGTATTTCCTTTGTAAATGAAATAATGAATCAAAGCAGATTGATATACTCTGTATCAGTAATCAATAATGTTTAATAACAGTCAACTTAATTATTTCCCCTAAATAAATATTCTGTATATGTCAAATTTAATTATTCATGGTCTACAAACATTGAACATTTGGGGGAGCAAAACCCAATCAGCAATTTCTAAAAATTTTTGTTCATTTCTGCATTCATAAAAGGCCCTCTGCATTCATGCACTTTTAGAGAGAAATGTATTACTAAAAGCATTGTGGGATTTAAGAACTTATTGCCATGACAACCAAATGATGCTTCAAAAAAAGTGAAAGGCATAAGAGAAAATCGAAGCCATAGGACTTGGTTGTTGTTTAATGAGAAACATTGATGATCTGGGTGTCACACCAGTGTACACATTGATGTTAATACCTGCGGCTTCCTATATCTCTGGCTTTCTGCAGGTAACCATGATAAATTGTAACGAGGACTCCAATTACTAGGCAAACTCGGCAGCTGATACCAAAAGCTCATTACTGGCGCGAGGAGGAAAATCCTTAAATAAAAAATATACAGAAGTCACTGAAAATCAGTCAGAAATCTTATTTGGATTCTTAATATAAAAAATAACAAGATTGCCTGTTTTAGAGCTCAAAGAAAGAGAAAATCAGAGATCGGTCTTTAGCCATCAGCATTATGTAAATCACGAGCATACAGTAGGAAGAAAACCAAGTCATAAGATGAATATACGGAATAAGTCATGCAGACTAGTAGAATGGTAAAAACTTTTAAAAATTTTTAACTGTTTCATTCCTCAGAACAGCATAAAAAAAGAAATGGAGCTGCAGCCCTAAAGGGGCCGAGGCCCATTACTTTTAAAGAATGGAGCACTACGAGTATATTAACCCGCATTAAATCCACCGTTTTAAATGCTTGTAATTATTGTCTGTTAATATAATAAAGATTTATAAGATACACTGCATATATACATAACATATTAGTAGTATTTAATAAATATCATATAGAGAGGGAAAGTAAACCGAAACAAGAGGCCCATGGGCCACATCGCTCACCTGAGAAGCTTTGACCATTCTGTTCTTTACCAGATTTCACCCTTGTTATACATAATGCATCCCCACCTTACCCCACTGATCATAATTTAGACATTTTGAAATCTACACTACCCCATGATCCTTCCATGGGCACATATGTTTCAGCTTTTTTGGCCCAGTGGTTCCTGAGAAGAAGATTTTCAAAGATTTTTCCTATATATTTCTATGTAATACTTTGATTCCCCTATAATGGCCCCGCCCTTCCCCCGGGGGTCATGATTCCTACAATTTAGAATTTACACTACCCCAGAATGCTTCCACATAAGCTTCACTTTTTCTTGCCCAGTGGTTCTTGAGAAGAAAATTTTCAAAGATTTTTCCTATATATTTCTATATAAAACTTTGATTCCCCATTGTGGCCCCGCCCTTCCCCCGGGTGTCATTATTTGAACAATTTAGAATCTACATTATACCAAGATGCTTCCACATAATTTTCAGCTTTTCTGGCCCAGTGGTTCTTGAGAAGAAGATTTTCAAGATTTTTCCTATATATTTCTATGTAAAACTTTGATACCCCATTGTGGCCCCGCCCTTCCCCTGGGGGTCATGATTTGAACAATTTAGAATCTACACTATACCAGGATGCTTCCACATAAGTTTCAGCTTTTCTGGCCCAGTGGTTCTTGAGAAGAAGATTTTCAAAGATTTTTCCTATATATTTCTATATAAAACTTTGATTCCCCATTGTGACCCCGACCTTCACCCGGGGGTCATGATTTGAACAATTTAGAAACTACACTATACCAGGATGCTTCCATATAAGTTTCAGCTTTTCTGGCCCAGTGGTTCTTGAGAAGAAGATTTTCAAAGATTTTTCTTATATATTTCTATATAAAACTTTGATACCCCATTGTGGCCCCGCCCTTCCCCTGGGGGTCATGATTTGAACAATTTAGAATCTACACTACCCCAGGATGCTTCCTCATAAGTTTCAGCTTTACTGGCCCAGTGGTTCTTGAGAAGAAGATTTTTTAATGACCCCACCCTATTTTTGTCTTTTCTTGATTATCTCCCCTTGCGAGGGGATATGTCCCTTCATTTTAACAATTTAAATTCCCCTTTACCCAAGGATGCTTTGTACCAAGTTTGGTCAAAATTGGCCCAGTGGTTCTTGAGAAGAAGTCGAAAATGTGAAAAGTTTACAGACGGACAGACAGACGCTGGACAGACGGACGGACGGACGACGGACAAAATGTGATCAGAAAAGCTCACTTGAGCCTTCGGCTCAGGTGAGCTAAAAAGTGCACTGAAGTTTTTTTAATTTAATAAACAGTCATTCAACAGCTTTGACAGCATAGTGATTGAGTATCTGACTCAAAAGGTGAAAAACTTAGAATCAAGTCAGGTGATTATCCTTGAATCTGCATAATATTACCAATCTAGACTGTAATACAATATATACCAGGTGCATATTAAATACTACTGTATAAGCAGAATTTTTAGCGAGGATTTAATTTTGGCATTATTAGTGAGGGTGACAAGATCGCTAAAATTGAATATCGCTAAAAATTAATTGCACTTTATTTGTAATAGAATTTATAGTGAAGTTTTCAAAATCGCTAAAATTACATCTTGCCAACAATAAAATACGAGTTTTTAAGGACAAATCACTAAATTTGCGCCTCGCTAAAATTTCCACTTATACGATATTAATATGCACATGGTATTGTATTACAGTGCACTCAGTTCTTTTAATTTTTTTATATTAAATTCTCTGAATTTATACATGGTGAATGATTTCAGAGCTAAGTGTGCATGTTGACCAAAAAATAAACAGTGTTACAGTTACTTACTCAGTCCAGAGAAAATACAGTTATCCAGGAACATATATATGCTCAGATAGGCCTACCAGGTAATTAGTACTCTTATTGGTAGAGTCCTACCCAGTGAGAAGCACTCACTTAGACAAGTCTTTCCAGTGAGTAGTACTCACCCAGAGAGGGCCTACCCAGTGAGCAGTACTCACCTAGAGAAGGTCTACCTAGTGAGTAGTACTCACTCAGAGAGGTCTATCTAGTGAGTAGTACTCACCCAGAGAGGTCTATCTAGTGAGTAGTACTCACCAAGAGAGGTCTACCTAGTCAGTAGTACTCACCCAGATAGGTCTACCTAATGAGTAGTACTCACCCAGAGAGGTCTATCTAGTGAGTAGTACTCACCCAGAGAGGTCTACCTAGTGAGTAGTACTCACCCAGAGAAGTCTACCTAGTGAGTAGTACTCACCCAGATAGGTCTACCTAGTGAGTAGTACTCACCCAGAGAGGGTCTACCCAGTGAGTTGTGCTCACCAAGAGAGGTCTACCTAGTGAGTAGTACTCACCAAAGAGAAGGTCTACCTAGTGAATAGTACTCACTCAGAGAGGTCTACCTAGTGAGTAGTACTCACCCAGAGAGGTCTACCTAGTGAGTAGTACTCACTCAGAGAGGTCTACCTAGTGAGTAGTACTCACCAAGAGAAGGTCTCTCCAGTGAGGAGTACTCACTCAGATTGTGCTACCCATCGAGTAGTACTCACCAGGGAGATCTACCTAGAGAGAAGTATTCACTCAGAATGGTCTTCCCAGTGAGTAGTACTCACCCAGATAGCAGTGCCCAGTGAGTAGTTCCACTAGGGTTGGTCTACCCAATGAGTAGTTCTTATCCAGATAGGTTCTGAAATTTATAAGTCAGAAACCCTATTACAGAAGAATACCTTGTCTCAAGTTTTGTTTAATCTAAAATAGTTAGATAGTTGTGTAAATAACTTCGATAAAAACAAATGATTTTCATAATTTCCCTTAGCAAATAGGTGTAAGATTAAAATTATTATTATTTGAAATGTTCTGTGTCCACGGCATAATGCATATACATAGACTTCATTTGTACGAGTTTCCTCTCAAATGTCATGTGGGGGATATTTTAATGAATAATGTTAACTATCGTTTTAATAATGTGCAAGAAATATGTAGAGCTATCTTTTTTTGTCCCCCACTTTCGAAAAAGCAAGGGGACATTAAATCTTATTTGTCTGTCGTCTGTCAGTCTGTCCATCCGTCACAAAAACTTATAGCTCATAACTTTTGATTTAGTGGAGCTATGACTTTCATATTTCATATGTGTATTCCTAGTGACAAGATTTTTCTTTGGGTACCTCCAAATTTGACCTTTTGACCTTGGAGTTTGACACACTTTTACACAAAAATTTTAAACTTTTACTTTGGCCATAACTTTTGAATGGTAGAAACCAAGGTTTTCATATTTCACATATGTATTCTTTGTTGTAAGACCTTTCATTGGATACCAACAACTCTGACCTTTTGACCTTGGAGAATTCCGTACTTATGAAAAAACTTTAACCTTGGCCATAACTTTTGAACGGTATGGGCTAGGGCTTTCATACTTCAAATATGCAATCATTGTGAGGAGACCTTTCATTGGATACCAACAACTTTGACCCTTTGACCTTGACCTTGGAGTTTGACCTACTTTTTAAAAAATTTAACCTTGGCCATAATTTTTGAATGGTTTGGGCAAGGGCTTTCATACTTTACATATGTAATACTTGTGGCAAGACCTTTCATTGGATATAAAGAACTTTGACCCTTTGACATTGACCTTGGAGTTTGACCTACTTTTTAAAAACTTTAACCTTGGCCATAACTTTTGTATGGTTCGGGCAAGGGCTTGCATACTTCACGTATGTAATACTTGTGGCGAGACCTTTCTTAAGAAACTACCAATATATATTTAATTTGCATTGAAGGAAAGTTGAATCTTCGCTATTTTGCCATATGGGGTCATCAGGTTCACTTCCTTATAACATTTGATTGAGAAGAGATAGGGCTTTCATGTGCATAACCTATGCATGATCCCATGTCTACAGTATATGAAAATGCTGATGCCTTCTTTTATTTAAAAATATTTCTCCCTGTAAACCATTTAACTGACTATAGTTCCTAGGTATAGTTACCCAAGTCTTTACAGTGAGTATTACTTGCCTGAATAGGTCTACTTGGTGAATAGTATACTCATTCAGAGAGGGTCTATCCAGTGAGAGGACTCACCCAGAGAGGTCTACCTAGTGAGTAGTACTCACTCAGAGAGGTCTACCTAGTGAGTAGTACTCACCCAGAGAGGTCTACCTAGTGAGTAGTACTCACTCAGAGAGGTCTATCTATTGAGTAGTACTCACCCAGAGAGGTCTATCTATTGAGTAGTACTCACCCAGAGAGGTCTACCTAGTGAGTAGTACTCACCCAGAGAGGTCTACCTAGTGAGTAGTACTCACCCAGAGAGGTCTATCTAGTGAGTAGTACTCACCCAGAGAGGTCTACCTAGTGAGTAGTACTCACCCAGAGAGGTCTACCTAGTGAGTAGTACTCACCCAGAGAGGTCTATCTAGTGAGTAGTACTCACCCAGAGAGGTCTACCTAGTGAGTAGTACTCACCCAGAGAGGTCT